CTATTGTCATTAATATGTAATTATTCACATCATTTAATTGAGATGTTATTTAAATATTTATGATATTCATATTAATGAGATTTATAATAGCTCAAAATAATCATTAATTTAATTAATGGTTTTAAAGATTTTAGCAGTTCGCTTACTATTCATGAAATCTATAAATAAATCGATAATCTAATTAGCCAGATTACTTTAAGCATTAAATAACTGATTTTTGTTTATACTGTATTATTGTTTAAATAATTTGTTTAATTTAATATTAATGGTATAAGTTAGCATTCATTAGTACTGCATTCAAATATAACTGTGTTTTAAATGAATTCCATATTAATGTACTTTAAATACAATAGAAATTCAAATACAATTAATGTAACCCAGAAGTACCATTCCTCCTCATTGATAGTCTCGCCACTGGACACGTACTTTACAACACATACCGACTTATTGAGAGCTCTGAAGGCTATTTTGATACCAGAATCCAAGTTATGTTTAAAGGGTGTTATGTCTATTGGTTTGACTCGTTTCAAGTCATACAAGTCCTCCCTGTCCTCAAGTACTCGAGTTATGCTAAACATTCAGTAAATCTCATTATTCATAACAACTACATGTCTTATGTCATGCTATTTATACCGTTAAAAGACCACTGATAAATGTGTGATTATCACCAGGGTTAACTATACTGAATCCAGCGGTGAGTTGCTTACCAAACCACTCGCTTTTAGTACCATTGACTCCGTTATCGTATGGTTTAAGGGCTGTCCGCTCGGTCTTATCAATCATCCAATAGTGGTGTCCAATGACGAGAGCACAGGCAGACTGTGAACGATTGGACTCATTGTCTGTTTGATTGAATCGTTGAAAACCGAAATCAATTGAATTGTTATTATTTCGAAACGATTGACAAAAGTCTTGATTTTCTGTTTCCGTTTGATTCGCTAAATAAGACATGAGTTGTGTTCAGATTATGAGAAACACTGGTTTGAAGGCAAATGAATGAAAACATATTTATTAATTATAATAATAATTAACTCCTGTTCCCATTGAATACCTGTCCAAACGAAACAATTGAATGACATTTTAGACGAAATACGGTCTAATTATAGTCATCAATAAATCCGTTGTCTATTGAAACTCAGTTGTATTTAATATAAAACAATAAATTAGTTTATAATTATCTCGATCTATAGAAAGTTTATTATTATAATAAACTGGTACAATTTTAGTAAATCAAATCAGTATCATTTAAATCAAATGCAAACTAAACACAAAATAAATCCACTTTTAATCCATAGCTTTACAGAAACGAAAAGTTTGAAACTTTTTTTGGTATAGTTTTTGAGCCGTAATTCGTGTGAAACACCATTTGGTTTGCAGTGAAAACCAATCAAAAGCTCACAAAAAAATCTCAAATTATTTGTTGTTTTTGTTGCGAAAAACCATTCATTGATTTCATCGCTAATTATCACCGCTTAAGACCCATTCCTCCGGAGCGAGCGATGGCTACCAAGTGGTCGATCGACGAGACACTGGCCGACGAGTACGAGCGCCGGCTGTCGGAGATAACCGGCGACCGGTTCGCCAGCTTAAGACAGATCCACCGCCACCTCAACGCCAACAACTCGACCGACGATCAGCTGATCCACAGAGTGGTCAACGTTTACGGTGTGGTCGATGCGGTCAACACGTACTTCGAGATGCATAAGAAGGTTCAGGTGTGGGACCCGACGGTGTCAGCGGCGGTCACGTTCATCATCAACAACATCAACACCAATATAGTCATCAAAAACATCATAAGACTAACCAATGTGTCGATTGTCACCTCATCGGCCGGAAAGGTATGCCAATAGCTCTCTCTCGAGTAGACAGTGATTGTCACCACTAACTGATCCACTGATATGTCTTTCAATAGATGTTTGCAGTGAATGAACACAAAAACTTCGCCCAATTCTTCGCCTTTACCTACGATTACGAGTCGACGGACGCCAACCAAC